CGGGCCATGCAGGGCCCGTTCGCTGGGCAGGATGGGGGCTGGAGGGGGGGAAACCGGCGGACGGAGCCTATCGGCTCCGTTCGCCGCTGGGCTGAAAGCGGCCCTTAGTGTATGTGGGGAAGATGGCCGCTCAGAAGATGCTGGCTCCGATGACTGGCTCCCTCCCCTCCCAGCCACCCAGCCAATGGCAGGGCAGGTTGTCTGAGGGAGCCAGAAATTGGAGGAAGGTCTTCTGAGTGGCATATTTTCCGCCCATACACTAACGGGGCGCATTTTAGAATTCTGGCACCCAAAACTCCTTTATAATAAAGGAGAGGTCCACCAGTCCAGGACATCCTCAAGTTCAGCTCAATGGCAGTGAACAAAGGAGTCAATTTTATGACTGTAGAAGAGTTCAAGCTTTGAAAGAACAGGAGAAACATTCTTGATCTAATGAGGCTAAGAATCCTTATCAAAGAAGTAGAAATCTGAGCCATGATCCACCGTGAAGTTCTCCAGCACAATATTACCCTTGTTTGGCCCCCCAAGGCTTGGAATTGCACCGGAGAACTTCCCACTGGATTGCGTGCTCTCGCCCCGAACGGTTCCGGTTTGGACAAGCTTTGCTTCCCTCCTATCTTGTTCCTTTTCAGATAGTCCTATAAACATACTTTTTTATTTCAAAGTTTATTTTTATTAATTTTCCAAGAATAAACAGAATTCAGTAAGAATGCATGTAAGATATTGTGTAAAATCGAAAACACACCAACAGTGTAGTGACATTGACGATAACTGTATAGCAATTTTGATAACCATAATAAACAGTGCAACACGTGTTGTGACTCCATCAAAGTGGATGTAGAGAGAGAACTAAAATGAGAAGATAATTGTGCAGAAATAAGCTGGTTGAAGCCTATAAACATACTCAATACATGTCTTGTTTGTTTGTTTTAACTGCAAACTGAGTCTGCTTTATAAGCCCCCCCCCCTGGGCACCCTGGATGCAGCCTAAATTGAATCACACCAATGGGAGAGAATCCCAAAGACCTGCTGCCTGTTTTGCGGAAAACTGAGGTAAAACTGTGGAAAGTCCAGAAAAGGATGAAGTCTTTATATAATCCTTAATGTAGCCATAATGGTTCCGTGGTCAATGTGTTGAAGCCCAATGGGATTTTGCTGTGAGTTTCTGTATCAGACTGACCGTCTTTGCTTTCTGCTTGTCATACATAGGCGGTGGTGGCCCGCTATGTGGCCTTGGTTCCTTTTTTGCCCGATAGTGTGTCCTTTGCTGGAATTTGTGACTTGTGGAGTACATCAGATGTAAGTGGTAGAATTCTTTTCCTTACGGTTACAAATAAACTCGTTTCAGTCATTTAAGTAGAGTCTTGGAATAGAACAAGTAAATGTGGGTTTGTTGTTGTCATACAGTGAGTTATTCATACTTGTGCCCTGGAAGCTGGCTGGGTGACCTTGGGTCAGTCATACTCTCTCCACCTAGCCTACCTCACAGGACCGTTGTGAGGATAAAATGGAGAAGAGAGTGATGTAAGCCACTTTGGGGAGAAAGGTTACTGAACTACTGAACTATTACTGAACTAAGTAAAATAAATACCAACATTTGGAGAGGAACAACTGGGCACGAGAAGTTGAATTATCTGGGTTTATCAGGTCTGTGTATGGTGGTTCTGAGCTTATTGGAATATCCTCATTCAGTCTGTCACAAGAAATGACCTCTTTGCTCCAGGCCAAACCAGCATGATGGTTAGGGTTGCCAAGTGTTACCTTCCTCCGCAGCGGGGGACTCCCGGGCCAATCATGGAGCACGCGCGCACCGCATCCACGTCACCAGGACGTGACGTGACCAAGCCGGGCACGCTGGGGGCGGAGCCACGACCATCTGAGGGAGTCGGGGCGGAGTTCCCCCTGGGGCCCGATCCGGTGGTGGTGGGGAACGGGCCTCTGGGGCAGGAGTTTCCCTGCCCCCCGGGGGGACTTGGCAAGCCTAGTGATGGTGTTCCTAAAGGCTCAAGTTTCGCTTCTGTTCACGAAAGGTTCTCGCGAAAGCCTCAGCAGTGTGGGACCGTCCTCCTTGAAGGACGGCCTCTCCTGCTCAGATCCCCAGTGTGGCCTGTGTTGTTCCTCATATGGTCTCCTGGTGGCGCCCGGCCCTCGAGGGCCCTCTCCTCTCCTCTCCTCCACAAGGGCGAGGGCTTCCTCAGAGGACATGTCTGCCCCGTGGGACCTTGTTAGCTCCCACAAGGCTTGAAAAACAGAAATCTTCCAACAGGCTTTTGATCAGTGCTTGCCTAGGTCTCGCAGGCCTTGTACTGTTCATTTGGATGTAGCCATGTGCAGTAGGAAATCTACATAGCTGGTTTTAAGTTGTGTTATATACTTCTTATTGCTTTTAAGACTTATTGAATTGCATTTTACTTTGATGCAAGCCACCCCAAGCCTCACTTGTCAAGGCAGTGCTGGGATATACCTGTGATAAATAAAGGAAAATTAAAAATAAATGCACCTACACTGGCCCCTTGGCACAAGGCTTGGGACCGAGGCAAGTTTGCTTTCATGAGGTTGACTCAGGGGTCATTTCCTGCAGGAGCTCACAGGAGCGGAGCTCCAGCAGTAAAGAGCCCAGGGTAAAGAGCACATGCAACAAGCCCCACCCCCTGCTCCCAGCAGCCCCGGGCCACAAGGAGTAAGAAGCCTCTTTCTTTCCCTCTTTCTTTCCTTCCTTCCTTCTCTCCTTCTTTCCATTTCCCTCCTTATTTCCTTCTCTCCATCTTTCTTTCCCTCTTTCCCTCCTTCTTTTCCTCTTTTCCTCCTTCTTTCCTTCTCTTTTTTCCCTCCTACCTTCCTTCCTGCACAGATCTGCGCATCCCCCCCCCCAGCTAGCAATCCAAAGCAGTCCAGTGGCACCTTTAAGACCAAGTTTTATTCAGGAACAAGCTCTCCCTCTTCTGCGAGGACAGATTTTTTCTTCCGAGGACAGATCTGCCCGTTCCCCCCCCCCCAATAGCTAGCAATCCAAAACAGTCCAGTGGAGTCTGAGCGGTGGGTGTTGCCTTCTGACACACGTCCGGTGATGTCAGGGGGTGTGGCACATGCAAATAAGTTATGCTAATGAGCTCCTGCACCTCTTTTTCTACGAAATGACCCTTGGATTGACTGAAAGAGAAAACGTATCGCTTTTTACCTGGTGGCCACTTTATGACACGCAGGTGTAGGATCAAAATCTCCTAGCTTAAAAAATGAATGGGTCGGATCCAAAGGACTGCGGGTGGGTCTTTCCCAGCTCCTCTTTCCTGCTCCAGCTCCCTGTCCTCCATGAAATGCTGCTCCAGAGGACTGAAACGGGGGGGGGGGGCGGATGAGAGGCAGAGGTGTGCCATGGGGGGGGGAATCCGGCAAAGATCACTCTTCACCTCCCCTTTGCCGGCGCTCAAGTGCACCCGGCTCGTGGAAGAAACTTTGAATGGTTCCCGACAGGCCCAGTCAACTGGCATTATGATGATGAGTGTGATCATGATGAGTCACTGGATGTGAAGGAGTGTTTTCTCGGAAACACTGGAGAGAGTTTAGGCCTGTCTGTTCTGCCGTTGGCCCTTGCATAACTTGAAACCTTGGGAGGCATGAAAATTGCATTCAAAACCTAAAGGCGTAAGGCACTGGCTGGATATCAGGGAAAACGTTTTTGACAGGCAGGGTTGTGCAACAGTGGAACCGGCTGCCCTGGGTGGTGATGGGCTCCCCCACAGTGGCAGTCTTCAAGCAGCAGCTGGACAAACACTCGTCAGGGTTGCTCTAGTCTAGGCTGATCCTGCACTGAGCTGGACTACAGGGTTGCCACTAAAATTTTATTTTTCATTTCCCTGACTTTCCCTGACCAACGTTTGTCAATTTCCCTGACCACCATTCAAATATAACCACGAGTTTAAAAATGAATAGGTCAACGCTTCCTCTAAGCTGTGGAGTCCTGTGAGCAAAATTCTACTTTGTGAGCTACTGGCATGAAAGTTGTGAGCCAGCGATTGGGCTACTGCGTAAATTAGTTTGCTCCAGAGCCCTCCTTCCTAGGCTAAGACAAGAATGTGTGACCCGGAGGCTAAAAAACTGTGAGCTAGCTCACACTCGCTCAGCTTAGAGGGAACACTGGTTGTATTGCATTAATGCAAGGTAAGGTTCCACTCTACAACTACACAAGTCTCAGCTGCAAAAATATTTGTCAAAGACATTTAATATCAGCTTCTTTCAACATTAACTGCAGCAACATCTGTTTTGCAATGGCACCAAAAATGACACCAAGATACAAATTGCAGTTCAAGTAAACTCTGAATGCTAACAAATGACAGAACATTTTTGTTCTTGTTTTAAAGGTACACTAAAAATTATATCAACGTTCTGTCTAAAAGGGTTGGGAAAGGGCATCACTGAGTTCTACTTGTGTTCTGCTCCTTCTCTATTCCAGTTGCCACAAGAACAGGTCAGGCTCTTGCAGCAGCAGGTCAAAAATCCACTGCTTGAATATATCTTAATCACGATTTCCCTTACTTTCCCTGACCAATTTTCATTTCCACGACTTTCTCTGACTTTCCAGAAAGTGGCAACCCTGGACTAGATGGCCGGTATGGCCCCATCAAACTCTGTGGTTATCTAAATACGTATACCCCACCTTCCCCTTGTGACTCAAGGCAGCTACTAGTTCGAAGTTACAATCATACAATAAAGCACCATCTCTCCCCCGCCCCAAGATAATGCCTGAAATTTTAAATCTTAGGAAAAGCCCTAATATAGAAAACACCTAAGCCATGCTTCAAGCTTCCAAGTGTATTAATAAACACATGGAGACTGAGAGTGACTGACGTCTGGGTTTTCAGTTCTGGCAGGGTAAGATTATGTATTTATATAACCCTGGCCACATACCACGTCTATGATCTTGTGGTAATCCATACGATTATTCCACGGAGTGGATGGTGGTGGAAAGTGCCATTAAGTTGCAGGTAACCTATGGCAACCTCGTAGTTTTCAAGGCAAGGGACGTTCAGAGGTGGTTGGCCCTTGCCTGCCTCTGCGTAGCAACCCTGGACTTCCTTGGTGGGCTCCCATCCAAGTACTGACCAGGGCCAACCTTGCTTAGCTTCCGAGATCAGCCTATCCGGGGCTGTCCAGGTCAGGGCTCCACAGAGTAGGCTAGTATTATTATTCCCACGTTCCACATGGCTGACGGACTAGCTTGTTAAGGCTGTCTTGGGAATGCTTGGAAGACTTGTGGTTGGACTTCACTTCCCACCAGGGCTTCTCAGCTGCTTGCAAGCCACGGCTCTGTCCACTCAGGCCGCCATGCGAACTCTTCATGCCATCGTTTTTGGGCGATGTCTGACTGGAGCTGCAGGGCACTTACAAACAAAGGGAACTGTACTTCTGGGCAAAGGCTCCTCTGTCATGCAGATACTGGAGGACCGTGAACCCTGCTGGTAATCGACTTGTCTGATGCCATTCATTAGCAGTTCCTTGATCTTTTGGCTGGAGATGAAGAAGAACACGCTGTGCTCTTGTGCAACTATTTTCTTGCTCTTGGCAAAAAGTCCTGGCTTCTAATTGGAAATGCAATTCCTGAGGTAAGCTTCTTCTTTGCTTTCCTTTAACCAAACATCCGCATGCCGGAGACGCTCCGAGGACATTGTGTTGCAAACAGCCGCCCAGATTTCATTTTGCAGGCAAACTTTACATGATGCAACAGTGATGCAACAGGAACTCTGATTTCAGGACTCCTGTTAGCATTTTGGCTTTCAATGAAAGGGAACAAAGGCCGGGTTGCATCACACCGTAGAAGGCAGATTTCCCGCACTGCTGCCAAACCAGATTCGCCTTTGGACACACACATCACCAGCTCCTTCCTAATGCTCCTCTGTTGAATTGGACTGCAAATAGTTACCAGCTGTCCTCTTTTGGGCTGTTTTTAAAAAACTGATGAAAACATCCTCTTTTTGGGTCAGAAGGTTAGGAATATTCCTAGTTAGTAGCAATTATGACAGCTTAAATAGTGGGGGTATTTAAAATGAGACAGTGATCACTTTTGAAGTAGTCAGTCGGGAAATGTGTCCTATTTTTTGCTTTTCAAAATATGGTAACCCTGTGCATGTTCCTATTTTTTTGGAGGGTGGGGGAAGAGAGTCAGTATTAACCCCGTATAAACAGTTGTGTACTGCTACACTAAAGAAACTGATTTATTAACCTACCAAAAGGCCAGCCTTCCAGAGATTTTTGAACATTGAGGAAAGCAGGATATCAGAATTTGAATAGTAACCATAATAAATAATAAGCATTTGTAACCTGCTTCCAGGTCTTTGGAAGCTGCTGAGTCAGACGATTGGCCTGTCAGGTTTCTTCTGGGATACGCTGACTGGCGCTGGGCAGGGGCTCCCCAGGGACTCAGCCAGAGGCTCTCCACGTAACTGAATCTTTTAAAGTAGAGAGGCCAGGAATTGAAATTGGGATCTTCTGCATGCAAACAAAATGCTCTCCCTCCCCCACTGCCCCCTCTCATTCTGTTGTCTTGGAACTGCTCTCAAAAATTGTTCTCTTCATATCTCAGAAAGGGCATCGCAGAGCTGAGAAGAGTTCCGAGGGGGGCAGTCAAGATGATTGGGAGTTGGAGCACCTTCCCTATGAGGCCTCAGTTTAGAAAAGAGATGACCAAGGGGGAACACGATACTGTGGGGGGGGGCAGATAAAAGGAAACACTGCTTTACACAGAGAGTGATTAAAATGTAGAACTTGCTGCTAGAGGACATAGGTGATAGCCACAGGCACAGACAACTTTAAAAAAGAATTAAATTCATGGAGGAGAGGTCTGTTGGTGGCTACTTGCCATGGTGACTAAAGGGAACCGCCACGTTCAGAAGCAATAAACCTCTAAATACCGGAGCCAGGAGACAACCTCAGGGGAAGGCCTCGGCCCCTCTGCCCTGTTGTTGGCCCTCCAGAGGAACTGCCTGGCCACTGTGTGAGACAGGAGGCTGGACTAGGTGGACCTTCACTGGCCTGATCCAGCAGGGCTCTTCTGACTTTCTTATAAAACAACTTTATAGCAACATAATCCCCCCAAATTTGGCAGTTGGCAGGGAGGTGTGGGTGGGCTGAGTGCCAATAACACTTGTGTGTGAAATTAAATGCATTCTGCTTTATGACTGTCACTTTTTAAGAGAAACCTCATTTTTTTCCCTTCTTCTTCGCCTCAGGGAGCAACAGCATATGTGCTAACTTGGGAACAAAACCAGTATGTGATTTGGAATCCCAGGAATGGCCATTTTTATGGACAGTATGACACTTTCTGTCCATTGCAAAACGTAGGCTGTTTGATTTCTGGTGACAACGTAAGTATTTCACATCCCTGTTGCTTCCCTCTACCCTATGAACCTAGGAAATTATCTCAGACTGTTGGTCCACCTAGAGGAGGGGTGTCAAACTCATCAGCAGAGGTCTATCAGTGGATATTAGCCACAAGGTATAGATAGGGACTCTGGGGCAAGTGATGCTCTTTCTTCTTGGTGCTGGGGGGGGGGGGCCCAACAGTGGGAGGGCTTCTAATGTCCTGGCCCCACTGGTGGACTTCCTGATGGCACCTGGTATTTTTGGCCACTGTGTGACAGAGTGTTGGTCTGGATGGGCCTTTGGCCTGATCCAACATTGGCATCTCTTATGTTCTCTTATGTTCTTTATTTGTTATGAGGGCTGGATCTGACATAAATGAGACCTTGTTGGGCCGAGCCATATGTGTCATAAAATGTAATGCCAGGTAGCTGAGATATAAACTTTATAAAGGACACGAACACAAAGGTGTTTTTTTTACTTGCTTAAAACATTAGCACACTTGCAATATTTTGTTTAATTAACAGTGTCTGATAACTGACACCTCTTGCTCTGAATTATTGCATCAAAAATGTCTGTGGTGTTGCAATTCTGTGTCTGCTGTTCAGGTGTGTATCTGTAAGTTAAGTGGTGGTTAAGTGTGCGGACTCTAATCCGGGAGAACCGGGTTTGATTCCCCACTCCTCCACTTGCACCTGCTGATGTGACCTTGGGTCAGTCACAAGCTCTGGCACAGCTGTTCCTGAAAGAGCAGTTTGTGTCAGAGTTCTCTCAGCCCCACCCACCTCACAGGGTGTCTGTTGTGGGGAGGGGAAGGGAAAGGAGTTTGTAAGCCGCTCTGAGACTCCAAGTGAAGGGCGGGGTATAAATCCAATCTCTTCTTCTTCTTCTAAGCTGCAAACCTACAATGACACAGCAGCAGTAGAACTGGAAGAAGCAGAAGACAGCCAGTTCCACTGCAGGCCTGATAGAAGCCCTCTGGGGGCCTGATCCGGCCCACGGGACACATGTTTGACACCCCTGACCTAGAGAGGGGGAACTTGGCGGGGCAAACTCTCTGGAGCCTGGGTGGCCATCAGAATTGGGGGGGGGGGAACCCAGATGGAATCTTGGGCGGGGAGGTGAAAGAAAAATCATGAAGCAAATGGAGCAAGGAAACTTTTCAAAGAAAAGTTATGGTCTTTATACTTCAGAGAAAAGGCAGTTAAGGAAGATGGTAAAAATTTATAAAAATAATGCATAGAGAAAGTGGAGAGACCCTTTTCTCCCTCTCCCAGAATACTAGGAGGCACCTAGTGAGGTTGATGGGCAAGATATTCAAGACAGGCAACAGGTAGCACTCTTTTCAGTCAACAAGCAATTAATTTGGGGAGTTCGCTGCCACAGGATGTAGTGACAGCCACCAGTCGAAGCAGCTTTTGAAAGGGGATTAGACAAATGCATGGAAGATACACGCTATTGGCCATGGTATCTAAATGGAACTTCCATTCATAGACAGTAAACACCTACCAGAAAGGCGTGACCAGAAAAATGCCACAGTCATAAATGCTCACAGGAAAAAAGCCCACATGGGAAAATGCCCATACACATAAAAGCTCACACAGAAATATTTCTATATAGAGTTTAATTTCTGTTGTTATTGTTTTTCCTTCTTAATAAAGTTTGTTGATAACAAAATGGTCACTTTTATTTCCTGCATTTTCCCTTTCAAGCCTTTACACTCAAGAGCATTAAAGCCCTCTTCATACAGGTCACTTTTGTATAGTAGTGAAGTAATTTACTAATAACATAGCACAGTTATTATTTGATTATGATTGATAAAATCACAACACAAATTGTTGCATGTGAATATGACATGTTTGAATCCTAAAACAATACAAAATATAGATAATACCTGTTCATTCTCATAAGTGGAGATGAATGGTTATCCACCATTATAAATATCTATTGCACTTTACATGGTATTTTTCCATGTAGGCTTTTTTCCGTGTGGGCTGTTTTCCATGTGGGCATTTATCCTTTGAGCGTTTATGACTGTGGGCTTTTTTCATAGAACCCCAGAAAGGTGTGGGCAGCAACCCGGGTTGTAGGCATTGGCTTCCGTGATGTGCTTGTGGGCTCTTTCAGGGATATCTGGTTGGCCTGGACTGCATTGGCCATTGCTTTAATCCATCACAGCTGATCTTAGCCTTGGCATTTATTGATTTGTGATTATGATTAAGGTACTAACAAAGTTGTTCATTCTTAGATTTGGTTCAATATTCAACAGTACGATTCCCCACTGAGGATAAATTTTGATGTCAGCAAACCCAAATTTTGGAAACCTTTTTTTTCCAGAAGTTTACCATTTCCCGGCCTCTCCAGTGTGCAGGTATTAACACATTTATTCCAGTAGTTCTCAGTGTAGAAAGAATATTTCCTGTGTTTTAAATTACTTGACCTTCTTAAGTGAGAGAGTATGGGATAGATATGATACCAATGAAATGTACTGAAGTAAAACTTTTAACAATCTTGGATAAGCAGTTAATGTACTTGGTTTAATATATTCATCTCATTTGTCCTGTTCCTCTGTTTAAGATGGCCCTTATCGACAGAAACTGCATTAGGAGTCTTAAGATACATCTGCTATAAAAAGATATTAAACACTGGTGAAGGGTTTAACTGCTTTCTCCACTCCAAGGGATGTACCAAATTTAATACAAGATCAACTTTCGTATGTGAAAATGATTTAAAGCAACTCAGTATAATGCCCCTAAATGAGCACACTGAAAGGACTTTGCAGGAAAGTGGTAGCACAGCATTGGGGTTGTGCGGAGGAGAAGCGCTCTTTTCACATATCAACAGCAAAACTGAAAAGCCACCGTTGTGGGATTTTCTCAGGCATAGGAGGGCAGGGTTAATGGATTTGCTCTCTGTGCTGACACATGACCTGAACTCTCCACCACTGTTTCATGCAAAGGATAAGTTGCTGCCTCACTACTTGGGAAAGTGGAGAATGCATACCAGTACTGCCACCAGTCTCAACAGATGTCCCCTTATTAAACCTTGAGACTTTTCTTGTCGTGTAGTATAGGCCCACAGCACATTCTGGAACGACGTGGACTATTTCTCTAATTCTGCTTGGCGATATAGTTTTAGTGAATTGGATCCCTACTCCCACATGCGAGAGTTCATGACAGCAAGGAGTCTTCTCCGCTGCACCTTCAGCCCCACGGCTGAACCATCTAGCAGCTGTTCCAGGGAGTTATAACAGGAAGGAGAATTGGGCAAACTTCTCGCCTCTTGTATGAGCATCTATCCCCATCCGTACAAGGAGGGGAGGGCTGGATTTCATCCACCTGGCTATGGCCTCTGCGTGTATCGTTTCGGAGGGTCCACAGAACCTCAGTGGCTTTGTAGGAGGTACGTTAAGCAATTGGGAGGGGAAGTGAAAGTCCAGTGGAGCGTTACCCTGTGTAAACACCAACCTAGCAACTTAAATTTGTTCCAAATGCAGCTGATCAGAGTAAGTTAAGAGAATGCATCCCATTCCACTAGAGCTAAAAAAAACCCCTACCCTGGTTGCCCAGTTGTGCCGGACATAATTCAAAGGGCTGTTCATACCCTTGTCTATGGACACACAGGGATATGGAGGCACTTACTCCCAGATATGCCTGTCAGATGAGGCAAAACCTGTGTTACGCACTCATATGTGAATGGAAACCAAAACGGGTTCAACTGTGGCTGACGTTAGAATCGCATTAGTCAGCCACTTTCTCGGCCCCCCGCCTTTTAAGCTGCAAGTAAAAAACCTATTTCCTGAAGCATTTTGTTGATTTGGTGGGCTTTCTCTCCTCCTTTCCTCATCTGATATTTGAGTTATCTGGTTTGACTTCCTTAGCTGCTGCTGTTCCTAAATTGTTTTTAGGATGCTCAGAAATATTGTAGATAAATAATAGCATGCAAAAAATAATAGATATTACACCTTCTTAAATGCCAAATTGCAACTAATTGGTTTTTATTTCATTAGCCTGAAGCGCTGTTCTACCAGTGTGCAGACAAGGCGGCTGCGCTAGAACTACAGGGCAGGTAACCTTGTCTAATGTATTTGCAACTTTATATAAACTGCATTATATCTATGTTAGGAGTCAGTTCTGTTTGGCTGTACATTGGATCTGGGAGCCAATATTTGCAGGCTTGTAGCTCTTCTCAGTTCACTCACCACACCCAGCTTCCTTTTTAAAAGCTACTTTGAAGTATTCATTTAACTTACTTTCCGTTGCATTTCCTTACAATCCACTACATGTTTGGAAGTTGCGTTTTCATTTTTTTAAGCACAGCAAGGCTTGGTTCTTACATAGTAGGATAGTAATCCAGTCAGTAGACTGTTCAGCTGCATGTGCTGGACTTATATTATTGTTTTCCTTTATACCCAACCACTCCTGGCATTCAGAAAACTAGGTCAGACAGAATTGTACATCTAAAACCCTTCATCTAGATTTCAGTGTGCAGGGAATGTGCGTAGCAGAGCTTGCGCTTCTAACCACACACATCTGCAGTCCTGTAAGCGCAGAGGAAGTTTATCTGATCTGCAATTTGTAAAAATTGTTACCGAGCAAGAAATTGAGGACTAAAAAAAATGCCCTTAGTTATTGCCGAAAAAATAGGAGTGTTGATGTGGAATTCTACTTCTCCATTTCCCTCTTAAGAGTCTGAAGTCTGGTTGTAAAGACAAAAAGTCCATCTTGCTAAACTTCTGAGAGATGTGCAAAAAACTAGCATTGCTGTGAACTAACATTCTGAATGCAACTTTATACTTTTTCTTTTTAAAAAAATGCAGACTTGAGAAGATTTTGAAAGAGAAGATAATGGAATGGAGACCCAGGAACTTGACACGGTGGAACAGATACTGCACCTCTGCTCTTCGGCACTTCCTGCCTCTGCTGGAAGAGAATCAGGGCAAAGATGTAGAAGAGGACCATCAGGCAGAACTACAAAAACAACTGGGAGACTACCGGGTACTGCATCAGGTTCTTATACCCAGACACAGCCTAATAGAACTTACACAAATAAATTAACGGTGTAGATTGGAGTCCAGTGGCCCTTTTAAGACCAACAAAGTTTACTTCTGGATATGAGCTTTTGTGTACATGCACACTTCTTCAGATACATGGAGACTTCAGCAACCATCACACACAGGTGGGGGTTGCCAGAAGGGCTAATTGGAGTGAAGATGCACTAGTAACTGAGTGATATCCAGCCATATATTTTAAAGGTATCGAGCTTTTCACAGCCAGCTAAGCAGCCGTCAACCCCTGGGGAGAGATCCGTCACTCTTTCGTGGAGGCTGTCCTCTCCAGCATAAATCCACTGGCCAGTTTTACATGGGCTTCTCAAGTCTGTGCCGTTCTTCATTGTCAATCTGGTAAACTGTCGCAGTTCTTCCCCTCCCCCCCCCCCATCTTGCCTTTTCTCCAGTGCTCAGGGCAGTGAGGTGGCTCTCCTCCCAGCAGTCCTGGGAGGTAGGTGAGGCTGAGAGCAGGGTTCCCTCTAAGCTGAGTTAATGTGAGCTAGCTCACAGTTTTTTAACCTCCAGCTCACACATTTTTGTCTTAGCTCAGGAAGGAGGCAGCAGCCAAATTACTCACTCATAACTTTAATGCTAGTAGCTCACAAGGTGGGATTTTTGCTCACAAGACTCCACAGCTTAGAGGGAGCATTGGCTGAGTGACTGATCCACAATCACTGAGCCCCACAGAGGGGCTACCGGGGGCCCTGGCCACAGCTCCTGCTTTCTGTGGCAGGAGCACGGAGGAACAGCTTGTGGTTCTGATTGATCAGAGGCTCTTCGCTTGCGCCATGGGGCTGGCTAAAGCAGGAATGGCACAAATTAAACTGGAGACAGCTGGAATGGGGCAGAAGTCCGGTTGCTGAGTTCCAGCAGCGGGATAGAGTTTTTCCACTCTTGGACTGGGGAGTGCCCCCCTCCAGAAGCCAAGTTAAACGAGGGCTAGGATCTCTTCGCGCCCCCAGTTTTTGGGGAAGCAGCAAGGTGGTGATTTTTTGCACCTCATGAACAAAGAACTTTTAAGCCAGCACTACCTAGCTTTCCTTTTTGGATACAGCTGAATTATTTTCCTTTGTGGAGTAAAGGAAGGATTAATATGAAGAAACAGAGCAATTACTTGGGAGTATAATGGAATCATTGACAGTTGACATCCAAGAACCTGCTTGCACCGTCAGTGATGTCCATCACTGATCCATCACACCAGCTGTCCAAGAAAGTATTGCAGTACTTTTTTTTAACCCAAGGAATGAATTGCAAACATGGAAAAAGCAAAGGTGGTCTGGGGATTACTCCCAAGGAACCCACCTGAGAATCGAACACCATGGTGCAGCTGGGTCCCAGAGTTAGGATCTTCTTGACTGAATATAGAACGGCTTTAAGGACTTAAATCCTTACCTTTTGTTTTTCCTTCTTCCAGGTCTCAGGATTTCCTATTCACACGCCCTTTTCAGAAGTCAGTCCTTTAATTGAAGCAGTCTATACGACGGGAGTCCATAACATCGATGTTCCAAACACGGAGTTTGCATTAGCAGTATATGTTCATGCTTATCCTAAAAACATTCTATCAGTGTGGGTGTATGTTGCCTCATTAGTTCGTAACAGATAAAAAGCTGAATTATTAAATAAACCCTCATGTTTTGGGCTCTTCTCATCAATGAACTGTACTAGTAATTTTACCGTCTTTGCATTGTAAGGTAACATTCTTTGTACCCTTTATATATATATATCCCTAGACTCTAATTTTGTATTTTTATACATTAAAGACAAAAGCCACCCATTTTAAGTACTGTGTCTTTAATGTTTGCCTACAAGGATTGCGGTCCAGCTGTGACGAATGACAGGTTTCAAGCACTACCATAAAGAGGAAGTGCAAACTGGCCTATCCAGCCCTACTTGGCTCCAGTCCTGAAGGAAGGCTTCAGCGATTCCAACTTGGAACGAAACCTTCGGGAGCCATGGGTACACCAGTACTGCTAGTCTCATGTTAAGCCCAGCTGTTCAAGTTTTATTCCATCCGTCTGATAGAGGACAGGAAGCTGCTGCAGTGTGCCAGTTTCCTGCCCTGAATTGGACACAGGGAAGTATTCACTCATGTCCAGGGGTCATTTCCTGCAGGAGCACACAGGAGCGGAGCTCCAGCAGTAAAGACCCCAGGGGGCGAGCCCATGCAACAAGCCCCACCCCCTGCTCCCAGCAGCCCTCAGTCAGAGCAAGCAGCAGCCAGGTAAGTTGCAGAGACCCCCCCCCCCAGTCCAAAACAACCTAGTGACACCTTTAATACCAAGTTTTATTCAGGTACAAGCTCTCCCTCCTCTGCGAGGACAGATCTGCACGTTCCCCCCCCCCCAGCTAGCAATCCAAAACTGTCCAGTGGAGCGGTGGATGTTGCCTTCTGACACACTTCCGGTGATGCCAGGGGGTGTGGCATATGCAAATAAGTTATGCTAATGAGTCATGCTAATGAGCTGCATCTCTTTTTCTACAAAATGACCCCTGCTCATGTCACTCATTTCCATGAGGCTGTTGTATGGTTGGGTCTACCTACTCACCAAGTTAGTTAACACTTGCCCCATAAGAAATATGCTAACAAATACACAGAAGAAAAAACCCACACCCTTATCAAAATAACTTTTCTTCAATGGAAGATAATGTCATCTCCATGGCTGTTTCTTTGAAGAGGGTTTGGCTGGTGCCATTTTATGTGTTTTTATGTGCCATTTAACTTCCACTGTTTATCAACCAAGCTCAGATTTTCACCCGGAAAATGATACTAATGAGAAGTGAAATACATCAGTAGCACATGTGGAAACAAATATGCTTTAAGCTACCAAATCAAAACAATATTGCTCGCTTGAAATACAACCTAGGAGTTGCCCGCATACTGAAACAGATAAACCACCAGCGAGTTCCTTAAAGCTGCATTTATTGATTTTTTATTACAGTTGCTCTTATGGCTGAGAAATTACTTTTGAAAATTCTTTCCAGAATTCGGCATCTTTAATGAGTTGATATAGGAGGAGATCACAGGGGTGTGTGGTTGCTACGCCACGACAGTCAGACAAGCAGATATCCCATGAAGCCCACAAAGTGAGGTGGCAAACAGTCATTGGCCAAACGGCACAGTCCGTGCTGTGTTTTAACATATCAGATGCTAATAAACTCTGATGCAGATGGGAATGTTTCATTTACGGTTTTTCAAGCTCAAAAATACAGAGTCAGTGCTAAACAAGCAAACAGACGGTATTAGCTCCCTAATCTTACAGCAGGACAACTCTGGAATCTGGGCTGTCACAGGAGACATCACTACCGAAAGGTGAACGTGACCCAGAATTTCAGGTTCACTGCAGGATTTATAGTGTAAGTATAAAGAACCTTACAGAGTTAGCACAAAATAAACCAAAGTATAAGTGCCAAACATTAGGACAGAGTGTCAAAACAATTTGGGTGAGTTTTTTCGCAGCATAAAAATCAAACCCACTGCCTTCCGATTAAAGTGAGACACAACTGCGAGAATGGCATGACACGACAGAGTTTGCTTCTACGGTTCTGAATTACAGGGCAAGAAGGACCTACGAATTGCACTCCAAAAGGGAACTGTTTGTTAACACAAGGTGTGGACTGTAAGTAAAGTGCATGAAAGAAAGCCTGCTGAGCTAAATGAAGTAGACTGAAAGGTAAGGAGTCGGGTCATTCGCCAGAGCGGCAGCAGGCTCGGAAACCACACTGCAAGTTCTGGCATCCACTGGCGGTTTCAGCGTGAGGACCTGCGTAAAGACAGAAGAAATGTGAAAGGAAGAAACAGGGACCGGCCGGTGCATCTCAGACAGCAGAAGGTAACACACTTCATATGTCTTCCCCCTTGAATAGGTACAAGTTGTAACCCAAAGTTTTTTCCTAACGAAACTCCAG